GGGTATGTGAGGGCTCAACACGAGTTTTAAAAAGATTTAAGGGAAAGGGTAGGACTCCAGGAAAATCAAACAGGGGGGTAACCAACAAATGCTGAATGTGGTACAATAACCGAGGGGAGGTGAAGAAGCTGCTTGGAACTCGATACCTCGAAGCGGTGGGGCAACATCTCTTTGGGGCCTTTGAGAGGGAGCGAGATTGTGTGTACCCTAAAAATTTTCATACAACCATTGAAACTTCCCCGGGGGGAAGGGCCAAATTCCCTTTTTAAAAAAAGGAGACAGAAAAAAACTTTAAACTGAGGGTTTCCAAAGGGTTGGGGAGCGCGGGAAACCCGGGGGTTGGTGGACACCTGGAAAAAACTGGGTTTAAAAACCCCGGGGTTTTGGGGGGAAAAAACGGCCCAAAAAACCGGGTTTTTTCGGGAAGAATAAGCGGGAAAAAGGAGGGGGGTGCTTTTTTGGGGGGAAAAAAAATTTTTTTTTTCCTTTGGGGTTGGGGAAAACGGGTTTTCCCCCCAAAAAAAAAGGCCCCTGGTCGGAAAATTACAGGGGGAACAAGGTCTGGTTCCCCCTTTGGTAGCGGCAAAAGGGGGGGGGTGTTGGCCGGCGTTTTTTGGGTGAAAAGCTAAGGGGGGGGAAAACTCAGAAATTTTTTTGGGGGTTTTGGAAAATTTAAAAGGGCCCCAAAAGGCCAGGAAGGGGGCTTAAATCTGGACACCCCTTCAGAAAAGGCTCCTTGTTTTTCCCCCAAAAAAGTGGGGGAAGGGAAAAAAGCCCGCAGACACAGTAAGTCTAGGCGGCCAAAAGTGCAAACCCATCAAGGAGAAAGTTTGGGGTGGGGCATAATCCCGAACACGTCCGGAAGCCACGTCAACCAAAAAAAATGCTGCAGTATAGGGGCGCCTGGAAAAAACTGAGATAGCTTTCCGTATTTCGTAAGGAATCGTTCAAGAGTCTGTGCACAGTGTACGTCAGGCCCATACTGGAATATGCAGCACCAGTTTGGAACCCCCCACCTGGTCAAGCACGTCAAGAAATTAGAGACAGTACAGGGGTTTTTGCACAAGGAGCTCAGGGAATGTCCTATTAAGAAAAGGTTGAGGGAAATCGGCCGACGACACTAGAGGACAGGAGGGTCAGGGGAGACATGATAACAACATACATAAAAATGCGTGGAATAGATAAGGTGGACAAAGACAGGATGTTCCAGGAGGGAAACAGAAACAAGGGGTCACAATTGGAAATGAAGACTCAGACGAGTCACAGAGATTTTAGGAAGTATTTCTTCATTTTCCATAGCGTCGTCAGGAAGTGGAATAGACTAGAAAAGTTATGTAGTGGAGGCAAGACCCATATATAGTTTTAAGACGAGGTATGGCAAACTCAGGGAAGCAGAGAGAGAGAGATGACCTAGTAGCGATCAATGAAGAGGTGGGGCCAGGAGATGAGTCTCGACCCCTGCAACCACAATTAGGTGATACAATAGGTGAGTACACAATAGGTGAGTTCACACACCACACACGAGTATACATACACACACGAGCAGTATGTATGATAATCCTATGTAACCGTATTTGCGTACACCCGAATTATTGAGAAAATGGCTGTTTTGGAAGATGTAATAAAAATAATACATTCGTTTTGGATAAATGGCACATCAAGCCTATTAACATTTAGTTTTAAGCTGTGTAAGACACTTGGCCAATCACAGCAGTGTAAACAAAAACTTGTCTCCCCATATCCACCGCTGGAGAAGTAAGGTTATTACGTTCATCACTGCAGAAAATTTACAGGATATATACAATGTGAAATATATACAGCGAAAGTTGTACAGTGAGAGGGATATACTCTGAGAGATGAATTTTACTTAAGAATCTCCCGTATTCTTGATGTTATAATGACACAGCCTTATTGGCCCTTTCAGTCGACAGGGTTTAACCTAAGAAAAATAAACTAAAAAATGTTTACAATATATAATCCCCATGTATTTAGGTCCCACCAAGCAAGATAGAACAATTATAACAGAGGGATAGTACCAAACCTGCACACGAAACTCCCTATGACAGCAAAAAACTCGGCAGACAGTGTAACTTTCCCCCCAATGAAAAGCAGAGGTGCCATTAGTACAATAAGAGACAACAATAAGTATCAGGGGTCCAAGACTGTTCAACTGCCTTCCAGATACATAAGGGAGATTACCAATAGCCCCCTGGCTGTTTTCAAGAGGCAGTGATCAGGCACCTAAAGTACCTGACCAGCCGTGCTGTGGTTCGTACGTCGGGGTTGTTGTGCGGCCTGCAGTAACATCCTGGTTGATCACGCTCTGATCCACCATGGGGCCCTAGTCACAGACGGGCCGCGGGGGCTTTTTGACCCCCGAAACCCTCTCCAGGTATCATTACTGCTTTGGTCAGGAATAATAATTTTTATCCTAGCCAGTGTAATTGTTTTGCCTTCACATGAGCACTGAACAATTATATTACAGTACAGTAAAGGGAAACTGGGTACTCATATTTGTGTTATATTGCACAACCGTATTTTGTAATAGATTATTAGTCTATCTGGGAGTTTTATATTGGACAAAGCTCTCGCTTCACACACGGAGACCCCGGGTTCGATACCCGGGGGGGGGTAGAAACATTTCGACGTGTTTCCTTACACCTGTTGTCTGTTCACCACCTGCAGCAAATAGGTACCGGGGTGTTAGTCGACTGGTGTGGGTCGCATCCTGGGGACAAAACTGGAACCAAAATTTGGAAATAAGACAGACAGTCCTCGATGACACACTGACTTTCCTGGGTGGCTAACCCTCCGGGGTTAAAAATCCTAACGAAATCTTATCTTAAACTCCAGATTTACTGGAAAATATTCTTTATTTGTAGAAGGTATTGCACACTGTAGTGTAGATGATGATATTAAAAAATTGAAAAAAAAAAATCATGAGCTACTTGGTACTCAAAATTGGTGCCATGACGACTTTAAAATCTCACTAACGAAAATTATTCTGAAGGAAGGAATTTTCCTCACTATCATTGTGCCCCACCGCATTTATTATCAGTTAAAAATTTTTCCTTGTTATTTGTTCTTTTGTCAGTAATCTCTTCCAAAATGATTATTTGGTGTCGCTGTCTTTCAATCAACACTTCTTCTCTAAACAAGGCAAGGAACAAAATTTGATTTATTATTCTAACTTGATAATAAATAATTGCTAGTTTACACAGAACTTTTTTTTTTTTTACGTATGTTGTCTTTTGTAATTCTGTCAGTATAAGTACAATTGTGTCGTTGTCATTTGGGGATCTAAGAGACAGTAGTGTATTAGATACAAACAGTTGATGCATTTGATTAGTTCTAATAACTTGGTTGATGATTTTCTTTACCACTATTTTTGTGGGACGGAATTTGTTTGGTTACTATCAGCTGTTGTAACAACAAACAAGGCGGATTATACTCAAAGACACACCAGTGCCAGTGGAGTCGGAATTTAGCATCTGTGTGACGGCGTAAGAAGCAGCAAGAGTCCTGAGGACTACGGCAGTGTGACGCTGAGTGATGAAGACAGTGAGGAAGATGCCCAAAACCCCCACTACGCCTATGGTAGACGCCTACAGAAATACAGGTGACCCGTAGCCCTCTTATCTCCTAACTACATTAATATGACACGAATATTCATAACTGCAATCATGCACTTTACATTAATCATAATTCATCGCTGTAGGTTATATATAACCATATGCCTTTGTAAACAATTTAGAAATTTTAAACAGCAGTTTTTTAAAATTGTTCCATTAACCTAAATAAAAGTTACCTATTTGTTTGCTCTTTATTTTAAACTGTTCACGCTACTACTGTTGCTACCATTTTGATTAGAAAAACCCTCTAAGGAACTTAGTATGTATATGCATACTAAATAGAAAATACTAAAAAAGTTTCACTGTGTTAAATAGATGTGATTGGGTGGGTGTGCTGGGTGAGGTGAACCTGCCTAACATGGGCCAATAGGCATACTGCAAAGCTCCACTGTTCTTGTGTGTACAGAACAGGATATTCTGTATGTAGGAAATTCATAAGACGGAAATTAGGGACTAGCCACTTATCAAGGCTGGGAGACTGATCACCTCAAAATTACCTCTCCACTTCTGTCTGCAGTGTCATAATTACCTGTGTTTGACTGAGGAGTCTAGTGCACAGGCAAAATGTTTTAACAAAGATGCTTAAGTGTTGCATGTATGTCTTTATAATGTAAGACATTTTTAATGGATGTTGACCCCCAGCAAAGGAGCAGATAAGATAGCAAAATGGTTATTAAAAAATGTGAAGAACCGGGTTATCCACTCTCAGAATGTTTTGAAATTTTACTACAAGAAGGTAAACTGGCAAAGCAATGGAAGTGGCACACATTGTCCAATATCTAAGAAAGGTAACAGGGAAGACCCCTTAAATTACAGGCCAGTTTTGCTGACATTTGTAAAAATATTGGAAAAAAGTAATTAAAGTGGATAAAACTCTTGGAAAGGAATAACCTACAAACAAATTTAATTTTAAATTATCACAACTGTATGTCTATGGTAATCATGTGCTCAGTGTAAATGTACGAATTTAAAGCAGCATTCTGTAAGAACACCTGTTTATTTAACACAAATAAAGCTTGCTTTCTTTCCATTGCAACACAGGCAAGTTCTTTGAGAACTACAAACAAGATATATAATTAGTATGTATGCAAGTGTGACTTTTTCTAATGCACAGAGCACTGAATGACCTTTTGTCCCCATCTCTCTTTGCCCATCAGAAAAGTGCCATCAGTATTTAACAGCATTCTTTTATTCCATTCCCAGTTTCAACTTTTATTCTGTATCTGTACTAGCTAGATTACCTTAATTGCTCTCTCAAAATATTACTTAATTGGGAATTGCATCATGCATTTTACTAATGTGCATTAATATACAATAGTAAAATGATATGTAGTTATGTTGTTACCTTTTTTAAAATTTTGTTTACAGGGTACAGTGTCAAAATGGACCAACTATATTCATGGATGGCAGAACAGATATATGGTGCTAAAAGATGGCACCATGAGCTACTACAGGAATCCAGATGAAACAGCGTTTGGTTGTCGAGGTTCCATAAGTGTTCAGAAAGCTCATGTAAAGGTAAGCATCATTTTAGTTCGAAAACTGTTGACATAGGAATACAGTATATGAGTTTATTTTGTTGCGTATATAGGAAGTGGCAAAATTCTGTATTTGCTTAGTTAATAATCAAAGAAGCTTGGTCATCGACAGTGGTGAGAGTAGAAAGAACTTCTGTAATGTATAAATAATGTAATTTATTGCAGTGGAAATACTGCACTAGAAATCTTCCCTCGTAAGTCATGTGTGTCGCCAAAACTGTGGTGTTTGGATGTATGTAGGTATAATTTATTGCATTAGAGATGAAACACTTGAATTCTTTCCTTGTAAGCCATGTTGCAAAAGAGAGCAAGGAGTTGGTAACCCCTTCTGTATTTAATTATTAAAATGCTGATGAAGAAAATTTTGAAACAGGTGTTTGGATGTGCATATGTTTAGCACAGATAAGAAAGACTTGTTAATATTATGAATGAAAAAAAATGGTGCTCTAGCATTAAGTGAAGCAAAGCTAAAAGGGGTGTATCTGAAGGCAGGAGGGGTAGAGGATATCCCAGGAATGGTTGGAGAGAAAGAGTAAAAGAGACTGAATTTTAGGTGCTTGAGCATCCAGCAGTGCTAAATTGGAGTGAATGGAGACAATAGTTTTTAGTGGATGTGCTGTTGGAGTGTGAGGAAGATGATCTTCTTGAAGGGATTTACAGAAACAGCTAACTGACTTGAGTCCTGAAGGTGGGAAGGGCAGTGTCTGCACTCTGAAGGAAGGATGGTAATGTTGCAATTGGATGGTAATCTGCACTCTGATGACAGCACACTTCTGGAAAGACAGCGAAATGAATAAATGTTGGTGAATGTATTTTCCTGTTTGGGACACCTTTCTGTGATTGTAAATAGCTATTGAGGTAAAATAAAATTTTTTAATACAATATATGTAATGTATAAATAATGTAATGTAGTAAATAGTGTACAGGTAATGTAGTATGAGTGAGAAGAGTTGGGTTTGAGAAGGATCTGCCTAATATGGGCCAGTAGGCTTTCTGCAGCACTTGTCTATCTAATGTGCTCATGTTTAAATGGGTGATTTTGTCACAGGTCTGGAAAATATTACAGTATGGCAATTTTTTTATTTATTTCATTATATAATTTCATTTCAATTTGAGTAACCTAAAATCTGAAGTGGCTGTAGTTTTATAACAAGTGAAGTATTGCACTTGAGTAAAGATGTAATATGTGCTTTACATGATTAGCAGTATAGTATGTATATAATACTGATGCGATTTATTTCTCTTGTGCCCTATGTAAATGGTATTAAATTAATGTTACACACACATATAGACATTTGACTGGTATTTCTCACATGACAAGTAGAACTTAGAAACATGTGACCCTGACTGAGCTCATGCAGTTACCATGTCTTCATTATTTATAATTAGTCCTGATGCTGGACTCATATTGTGTATTGCTGTAATGTTATGGCACAAATAATGGGAGTATTGGATGATTGAAGTTTGTTGTTTTTTACTTGTAAATAAAAAGAATAAACCTTTTAAAACATAAAACTGATGGAAGAGTTGCCAGTTGTTTGCTGTTTTGGCTTGAATAGATGATGTAAGCAATTGAACTCTATATCTCTGAGTGAATAGTTGATTTTAGTAACAAGTTTATACCTTCTTTATTGCAATTTCAGTGTTCACTATATTTTGTAGTACAGGTGTGAATACCAGGTATATTCCCTAGTGTGTTTGAGTGAAATCTAATAATTTTTTTCATAGTGATACTTTTCATGTTATTTTTCATGGACAACATCTGTGACCTGGAGGTGAGAAGGTAGACAGTTGCTTTATTCTATTAACTAACATTTCTTTATTAATTGGCAGTATTCTTGAATTTTAAAAATATTAGTACAATACCATATTAGTATCTTCATTCCTCAGTGTATAAATTTGCAATATCCCCATGTTACAGCACATGTCCATAATCATGCCCTTGCATAACTCCTGTACATGAATATAATTCCAGATTCCTATTCTTTAGTTTCAGTTTCCAGTTAAAGTACAACTTTTTCATTGAATACACGACATAATCGAATAAGGCGCAACACTTACCAGAAATTAGGATCTTGTTTACGAGCAAGTTCTCTCTAATGTGTCACCATCTTGTACCATTATATTTAAGATGCAACACTCTTTATATGTTTAACATCTGCAGTGATTGTAACCATAAAAATACTCGTCTACTATAGGCAGTGTTTTACCTCTTCATGTAAACTTGTTTTTGTGGCAAAGTACTGTAAGTAAGTTTATTCGGGTACAGTTACATTGGTTACCGTACATAGGAGCATATGTGTAGAGAACCTAGGATAACCCAAAAAGTCAGACAGGGTGGCTTATTTCCATTGGGGTCGTTGTGATAATTATTGTTTAGATTTAAAAGTTATAAAGCAGGTAAGTATCTTAACTATATAAAGAGGTTGCAGTTGCCACTAGTGTTATACAGTACTGCTGTATATACAAAATTATCAAGTTTATCATTGAAAATGCTAACATTCTTTTGAAATACACCTTTTAATATTAACCCTTTGAGGGATCGACAGGCCCTCTCCGAAACTCGTTCTCAGGTCGGCCAAATTAAAAAAAAAAAATTATTTTCTCTTATGAAAAGATAGAGAATCTTTTCCCGATCATAAGGACACCAAAAGTTTGAAATTTGATGGAAAACTTACGGAATTATGCTCTCGCAAAGTTAGCGGTCTCGGCGATGTTTACGCATCGGCGATTTTGCCCACTTTGAGCCCCATTTTCGGCCAACTCCACTGTACTAGTCGACAAAAAACATGAAAATTTCGCTAGAACTCCATTTTTTCTATCGAATGGGTGCAAGAAACCACCCATTTATGAAATTCAACTATCCAGTACAGTGGTCAGAATTTAGCAATTTTTTTCCAATTTCCCACAAATTTCAAAAGATGCCAATTTCCGAATAGGGTCCAGAAAGAACAAGAAAGACATTCCTGGCACTAAAATGACATTTCCTCTGGTCATTTTGTCACGTCTCAAGGCCCCTCTTATATTCTTTTGCTTTCCACTTTGAATTTTTATTCTCACAAAAAAATAAGATTTACTGTTATGCAGACTACTGCATTAGGGTAAGAAATGGTATAAATATTGTTGGTGCACTTGTGAAAGACTATTAGACTCACCAGTTGACGTGTATTGCACGCTTGGGACGATTTGTTTACTTTGAAATTTGGTAAAAATCGAACATTTTCTGCTACTTTGAGCTCAATTTCAAGGTATCTTTCATTGTAAAACCAGTCAAAATCATCTCAATTTCTGTAATGTCTTCCATTCTATAAAATGAGACCAAGAAAACTAGAATACAACAATAAATACCATACGAAAATACACTGCAAAGTCGCTGTTTTATTCCAAAACAAATGGTCAAAGTTTTTTTTTTCTCATTATGCACTGTGTGCTGCAGGTTTTTTTTTAGACTGTGCACACTGACCACATAGATCCATTCTTTCACATGAAGGCCTACCAGCTTCTCCCACTAGATTTGAGGGCGCTAGAATTTAGGCGTACTAGTACGTCAAAAACCCTGGGTCGTAAGCCGTACTAGTACGTCCGAAACCCTCAAAGGGTTAATGAATATCTAATAAAAATTATACCCGATATTTGTATGTTTCCAATTGTTTTACATGTTTGCTATTTTTACTTTACACTTTGAGCAGTATAATGGCTGCCCAAAAACCCTATTCTTCACCTCTTATGAGTGATACAGAAAATTTTTTCTTTTTTAAGTATGTACAGTTTTATAAAGTGAGGAGTGATAAATGTGTGTATGGTATTAACTATAACGGGATGGGATGAATTATGTTCCACACAACTTTCATTTAACCAGAAATCTCAAGAACCAGATCATTTTATAAATAATGTGGTGCAATTTTATTAATATTAATTTTGTAAATTTTTTTATTAGGTTCTTTTTTATCATATACATTGTACACTATTGAGGAATAAACACAAGTCATGCCATGAGATACAGTATATATAAAAATATTTATTGTAATATAAAAATACCCTATGCCTTTTGTTGTTCAGTAAAGTAAATGCTATTTCCCTATCCATTACAGTCTTACCTAATTTTTTTTAACTAGGTTACCTTTATCTGACACATAAGCAAGTTGTCTAACCTCTGTCAGGTGCCTTCAAATAATGTTGTGTTGGCATTTTTTGAAGTTAGTGAAATGTGTGGGAAGCCCCGCAATAGAAATGTGGTACACTCTTTTTCATTTCAGTTCTCTATACTCCCTCCCCCTACCCTATATAGTAGGGCCCCACTTTTATGGCAGGTTAGGTTCCAGGCTACTGCGGAAAGCGGACATCGCCCGAGAGCAGAATGCCATTTTTTTCCACTTATAAAATACTATAAATGCCAGATTACAGGTTTACACTAACATATATTAAGATAACAATAGAACTAGGCATTAAAAACAATAAAAAGTAAAATATACACACAGTACACTCTTACTTACATTAAAATATTTAGTCTTAAACCCTTAAACTGTCCAAACGTAGATTCACGTTCATGTGCGTAGCACTCCGACCATAGATCTATGTTCGATCTTACATGCTTTCTTGTGTAAAAAATATGTAGATCTACGTTGGGAGTGCTACGTACATGAACGTAAATCTGCGTTTGGACAGTTTAAGGTTAATGTAGGGTGAGAGGTGAGTAGTATTTATTGTAAGAAGTCAGGTGTGGGAGGTAAGGCAGCCAGCCAGGCCAGACCACCCCCACACACACGTAATATATGTACTATGACATTTAAAGCGCCCCGGAGTCAATAAAATCATATACAGTATGCTCATTATTTTAAAATATTTGTAGTCTTAATGTTTTATGCGCCTCAGTGATTATTATTGTGTATTATTATCATTAATATGGCATCCTCAAGACTAATAAGACATTCTTAGTGATTTTAATGTGTATCTGCATGCCAGCACAGTGTGTAAGTTTATTTAGGTACAGGTACACACAAGTATAATTATCAGAATACATGAAATAACTTTAAAATACTTGAAATTTTTAAAGTTTCCAGAATAATGGGAGACGCAGTGCTCACGGAGTATACAGAGAAGGTAAGCAAATGGGGTGGGGCGTGGTGACCATTATTAGAAAGACAGGTGGGGGGGGAGCCATATTGCGAGTTTTGGTCATAATTTGAAATGTCTGTATTAGCAGAACGTCGTAAGGTGAAACGCCATGAAGCAGGGCCCTACTGTATGTTATAAGTCTCTGCTCAGAATTTTGCAAATGCATTAATTGATCACTTGTCTTGCAAAAAATATTTATGTATTTGTTCAGCACAAGAACTTCAAAAATTATTTTATTTCGACTTTCAGCCCCATGAGATAGACGAGTGCCGGTTTGATGTGTGCTTGAATGACTGTGTATGGTACTTGCGGACAAATACTGAAGAAGAGAAGCATCAGTGGGTAGATGCGGTTGAACAGCACAAGGTAGGGAGACCTCTTCCTTTATGAAAGATGAAATACAGTATATTATATCCATTGCACTTAATTTGGAAGTTGTTGTAAAATAGTCCATATGACCATAATATATCATTTTAGAGTAACATGATTTTGGTAAATTGATGTAAGGCAGAAATTATAAGCATATACAGTAACTTCCACTCTTGCTGAAAGCTCTTTACTTTTCAAACACATTTTTAATATGTAGTTGCACATCAGAGGTCTAAAATGAATATATACACAGGCATGTATAAATCAACTGTTTTCTTTTAGTACTTGGAGAGTGAGGGTCTTCGGCGGCATGGAAGCACCATTTTCACTACATCCAACACGTTCTCTACTACATCTGGCTCTTCACTTAAGAAATCAAAAGGTTAGGTGTTTTAAAGCCTTACATTTTAGCTTTGTATCTTCCTATCATCAGATGTTCTGTACTTCATGGGGGTATTATAAATAATTTTTTTTTTTAATATGCCGGCCATCTTCTACTGAGAATTTTTACATTTAGTAGTTTTTACAGAGAAGGGGTTACTATCACTTTGCTCCTGGCAATTTAGTCACCTCTTTCAACATGCATGGCTTATGGAGAAAGGATACTTCTCAATTTATCCATAGAGGGATAACATTAACCCTTTGAGGGTGGGTCCTGTTGTACTACGGCTTTCAAGCCAAGTCTGTCCTGTAGCATATGCTATGAGCTCTACTCACTCAGATAAGCTGTGAGCAGTAAATATGGTCTAGATATGAGAGAATGGATCTTTGCAGTAAGTGTGCACCATATAAAAACAAAGTCCTGCACCATGCAGTACGTAACAGTAAAAAAAAACTGATGGTGTTTTTGGATTAAAACAGCAACTTTGTGGTGTATTTTTGTATGGTTGTATTCTCATTTCTTTGGTCTCATTTGATAGAATGGAAAATACGTCACAGAAGTACACATGATTTTGATTGGTTTCAGGACTGAAAGTAGTTTGAAATTGAGCTCAAAGTGGCAGAATTGTTTTGATTTTTGCCAATATTCCAGAGTACACAAATGAGGTCACTCGTTCAATATGCATCCAGCTGACCACTCTGATATGCATTTAGAAATTCACTGACATAATTATACAATTATTACAATAATGCATAGAATGCATAATGGTAAATATTAAATTTTTTTTTGTATGAATAAAAATCCAAAATGGAAAGCAAGCGTAAGCGTAATATAGGAGAGGCCTGGGGACGTGACTGATGAACAGAGGAAATGTTATTTTAGTGCCAGGAATATCTGCATTGTTTATTCTGGACTCTATTTTGAAATTGGCATTTCTTGAATTTTGTGTGAAATTGGCCAAATTACCACTTTCTGATCACTTCATTGGGTAGTTTAAATAGTTGAATGGGCAGTTTCTTGTAGTCATTTGATAGAATGGAAGCCATGCTAAGTGAAGTAGCTAAGAATTAGACAACTGGAACAATGGAAATGGCCTAAAATTAGACTGAAAGTTGACGAAATCACTGATGCACAAATATCGATGACTGCAAAATTTGCTAAAGCGTAATTTCGTCAGTTTCCCATCAATTTTTTTTTTTTTTTTTTTTTTCTCTCAACAAGTCGGCCGTCTCCCACCGAGGCAGGGTGACCCAAAAAGAAAGAAAATCCCCAAAAAGAAAATACTTTCATCATCATTCAACACTTTCACCTCACTCACACATAATCAGTTTTTGCAGAGGTGCTCAGAACACAACAGTTTAGAAGCTATACGTATAAAGATACACAACATATCCCTCCAAACTGCTAATATCCCAAAACCCTTCCTTTAGAGTGCAGGCATTGTACTTCCCATTTCCAGGACTCAAGTCCGGCTATATTAAAATAACCGGTTTCCCTGAATCCCTTCACTAAATATTACCCTGCTCACACTCCAACAGATCGTCAGGTCCCAAATACCATTCGTCTCCATTCACTCCTGTCAAACACGCTCATGCAAGCCTGCTGGAAGTCCAAACCCCTTGCCCACAAAACCTCCTTACCCCTTCCCTCCAACCTTTTCGAGGACGACCCCTACCCCGCCTTCCTTCTCCTACAGATTTAAATGCTCTCCATGTCATTCTACTTTGATCCATTCTCTCTAAATGACCAAACCACCTCAACAACCCCTCTTCAGCCCTCTGACTAATACTTTTATTAACTCCACACCTTCTCCTAATTTCCACACTCTGAATTTTCTGCATAATATTTACACCACACATTTGCCCTTAGACAGGACATCTCCACTGCTTCCAACCGCCTCCTCGCTGGTGCATTCACAACCCAAGCTTCACACACATACAGTGGACCCCCGCATAGCGAACTTAATCCGTGCAAGAGGGCTGGTCGTTATGCGAAATTTCGCTATGCGAATTAATTTTCCCCATAAGAAATAATGGAAATAAAATTAATCCGTGCAAGACACCCAAAAGTATGAAAAAAAATTTTTTTTACCACAAAAAAATGTTAATTTTAGTACACACAAACTGAAAAAGGCATGCACAATTACATTGATACTTACCCTTTTAATTGGGTAGCAAGTCCTTTTCGGGGGTTTTACTTCCCTTCTTCTTTTAATGCCACTAGGACCAGCTTCAGAGTCACTGGACTTCTTTCGCACAACATATCTGTCCATAGTGGCCTGTACCTCTCGTTCCTTTATGATTTGTCTAAAGTGGTTCACAACAGTGTCATTGTAACAGTCACCAGCACGGCTTGCAATAGCTGTGTGAGGGTGATTTTCATCAAAAAAGGTTTGCACTTCAAGCCATTTTGCACACATTTCCTTAATCTTTGAAGTAGGCAATTCCTTCAATTTCTCTCTCCCTCCTTTGAACCAGTTTCCCCAGGTCTGGGCCTCTTGCTCTTGAAGTTGATCTATCAGCTCATCAGTGGTTAGTTCTTCATTGTCCTCCTCCACCAACTCTTCCACATCCTCCCCACTAACCTCCAACCCAAGGACTTCCCCAATTCCACAATTGATTCCTCAACTGGTATACTACTCCTCTCAGGGTTAGCCTCAAACCCTTCAAAATCCCTTTTGTCTACACATTCTGGCCACAGTTTTCTTCCAAGCAGAGTTCAAGGTTCTCTTAGTCACTCCCTCCCAAGCCTTACCTATAAGGTTTACACAATTGAGGATATTAAAGTGATCCTTCCAAAACTCTTTTAGAGTCAATCGAGTGTCTGTGGTCACTTCAAAGCACTTTTGAAACAGAGCTTTTGTGTACAGTTTCTTGAAGTTGGAAATGACCTGCTGGTCCATGGGCTGCAGGAGAGGAGTGGTATTAGGAGGCAAAAACTTCACCTTAATGAAGCTCATGTCCCATAAAGTCGCTCTGCCACGTCTGTAGGATGACCAGGGGCATTGTCTAACACCAGGGGGCACTTAAGGTCTAATTTCTTTTCAGTTAGGTAATCTTTCACATTGGGGCAAATGCATGGTTTTAACCAGTTATAGAAAAATTCCCTAGTGACCCATGCCTTACTGTTTGCCCTCCACAGCACACACAAATTATCCTTGAGGACATTCTTTTGCCTGAACGCTCTGGGAGTTTCAGAGTGATACACTAATAAAGGCTTAACTTTGGCAATCACCACTAGCATTGGCACACATCAACAAAGTAAGCCTGTCTTTCATAGGCTTATGTCCTGGGAGTGCCTTTTCCTCCTGAGTAATGTAGGTCCTGCTTGGCATTTTCTTCCAGAACAGGCCTGTTTCATCACAATTAAACACTTGTTCAGGTTCCAGTCCTTCAGTTTCTATGTACTCCTTGAATTCATGCACATATTTTTCAGCCGCTTTGTGGTCCGAACTGGCAGCCTCACCATGCCGTATCACACTATGGATGCCACTACGCTTCTTAAATCTCTCAAACCAACCTTTGCTGGCCTTAAATTCACTCACATCATCACTAGTTGCAGGCATTTTTTAATTAAATCGTCATGCAACTTCCCAGCCTTTTCACATATGATCGCTTGAGAGACGCTATCTCCTGCTAGCTGTTTTTTCATTTATCCACACCAATAAGAGTCTCTCAACATCTTCCATCACTTGCGATCTTTGTTTCGAAAACACAGTTAAACCTTTGGCAACAACAGCTTCCTTGATTGCCGTTTTTCTTGCCCACAATAGAAGCGATGGTTGATTTTGGTTTCTTGTACAACCTGACCAGGTCGGTGATACGTACTCCACTTTCATACTTATCAATGATCTCTTTCTTCATTTCAATGGGTATTCTTACCCTTTGAGGTGTAGGGTTGGCACTAGAAGCTTTCTTGGGGCCCATGGTCACTTATTTTCCACAAACAGCACCGAAAACACTGTAATAATACGAAATATTCCGAGTGTATGCTTGAAATGTTACCGGGAGGCTGGCTGGTAAACAATGGGACGGGCGGCACATGTGAGGCTGGCTGAGGGCGCACATTGGACGCGTCTCGGACGAAGGTCGCTGAGGCGGGTTTTTGTCCACTATGCGGGGCAAAATTTTAGCGAACAAAGCGTTGCTATGCGGATTGTTCGCTATGCAAGGCGTTCGCTATGCGGGGGTCCACTGTATAAGAGTGTTGGTACTACTATACTTTCATACATTCCATTCTTTGCCTTCATAGATAACGTTTTTTTTTCTCCACATATACCTCAACGCACCACTCGCTTTTTTCCTTCATCAATTCTATGATTAACCTCATCCTTCATAATCCGTCCGCCGACACGTCAACTCCCAAGTATCTGAAAACATTCACTTCTTTCATACTCCTCCTCCCCAATTTGATATCCAATTTTTCTTTATCTAAATATTTGATACCCTCATCACCTTACTCTTTTCTATGTTCACTTTCAACTTTCTACCTTTACACACATTCCCAAACTCATCCACTAACCTTTGCAAATTTTCTTTAGAATCTCCCATAAGTACAGTATCATCAGCAAAAAGTAACTGTGTCAATTCCCATTTTGTATTTGATTCCCCATAATTTAATCCCACCCCTCTCCCGAACACCCTAGCATTTACTACTTTTACAACCCCATCTATAAATATATTAAACAACCATGGTGACATTACACATCCCTGTCTAAGACCTACTTTTACCAGGAAGTGTGTCCCTCTCTCTATAAAAAGAGTCTCTACTATTTCATAAAAAAAATAATTGTTTTAATTTTCCGACCCTGAGAGCAAGTTTGAAAGCAGGGGTCCCGACCTTGAAAGGGTTAATAAGATCTTAAAGTTATACAGTTGTTAGTTAATCTTGACACAGTACTGAAAAAGTAATTTAAAACTTCATTAACAGGTTATATTTATTATCTTCAGAATACTCCTCATTTTTTTTTTTTTTTTATTATACACACTGGCCGATTCCCACCAGG